TAGGAAACTAGGCCTGTGGATAAAGATATAGGTCATTAAGCACAGTACAGTGTCTTTATTTCAAAAGGGTATCAGGAAGGCACAGGTGTGAAGTATTACCCATCACCTCGCTTCTTACAAAGATGCCAGACGTTGTTGGAACGTGGGTAGCGTTTAGGGCTGAGAAAAAAGCCTCATGCGTGCCACGATTCTGACGCATCTGAATTTTCGATCGGCCATTTGATATCGGCTGAGCTGTATTAGCCTCTGCATTTGCACTAAGCAGATACCGATAACAGGCATAATCGCGTATAAAAAATTTCCAGTTAATTGACAAGGGAATATTTGCAGTAAAGTATGTTTTAGTCAAGTTCAACCTCTAAGCCTTTTGCGATCTGTACAAATCGAGCGCGGCGACGCCTTCAATACATCTTTCTTCGAGAATGGCAACATGGTTTGCCAAGTATACCTCTGAGGAAAGGTACAAGTCGGGTCGGCTTGATGTGGTGGCGGATTTTATCACCTCGCCCCGCGTAGAAAGTGTTGCATACCACAATGGTGACACTATCAATCGACGAGGCGATACGTGTAACGGAATTTCACGAACCCTGGTAACAGGGGTTTGTTTCACACGAGATGGGCATGGTGTGACTGCACCCAAATAAGAATACGGCATGTGGCTAGCATGTATTTAGATTTTACTATATATATTTAGTCAAATCTATACATTTAAAATTAGGCGGTTTAGCCGCATACAAAAAATATAAGGATCTAAACGGAAGAGTTAATTAGCCTTGGGTTAAGGCAATAATTACTCTTGGAGTAAGCGGATCGCGATTCGCTAAAGTCGTACTTGTTTTAAGTATATAACGAAAGGTCGGTGACCTAACTTACGCTTCTTCATAGCGCTAAGCTACGGCAGCACACTTGATAGCACTTGTAGTCAAACTACACCTGAGTCGTTTAGACTAAAGAATTTTTCTTTCTGCCTCAGGACATGCAAGACGGACTTAAAAGCATATATCCTTGCTTGGCCCTGAGGGCGTGCAACACCTTGCGGCGCAAGGCCCCGAGGCAATCG